CATAATAAAAAACCTCAACACAATGAATGATTCTGTTTAGGTAAAGTTTCAACAGTTCCACCATATTCATTAAGAACAACAGCCATGTGAACCTTCCTGATCTGGAACTCTCTAAGAAGATTCCAGACTGAAATTGAATCTACAAAACCAACTTTCTAAATTTTACTGTATATATAGTTGAAGCATTCTACTTTTTCCATTTTCTTTTCCCTTAGACAATAACTACTAAAACAATAAATAAGTCTAATGAAACAGGGTCTTATGCACTTTGATTAATTACAAAAATCAGAAAAGAAATGACATCTTCACATAAAATGTGGATAATATGGTGAGAAAATGGGGTAATAGCAATTAAGAAAAAAAAAAAACTATGCAACTACCTCAATCAACTAGTGGATAGTGTCATGAAAAGCTAGAAAGTGTTAATATCAACCCAAAGAACATTATTAAAATATCAACTAGAGAAAAAAGTCAAGGGTTACCAGGCACAAAGTAGGCCGGTTTGTGAGCCATGTCTCCCACAGTAGAACTTTCTAGTTGCTCACCCTTCACCAGTTCCCAAAAAATGAAAAAATAATCAAAGTGATTACAAATCTGCACGCTATGACCTTGACATTGTTACATATAATTGATAAGAAGAGTTCTAATGATGGAAAAAAGGGTGTGTCAAAGGAAGAAATTGCCTGACCTTCCGAACAAAATCAAGTAGATCCATTGCATATGCAATGCCAACTATATTGTCAACACGCTGCTCAAAAACCGGTACCATGTAAATAGAAATCTTTTAACAAGTTTCTTGAAGGAGGTAAAGCCTTAGAGATGAATTACCAATTCCCTACCTTGAATATTGGTGAGTCACCCACAGATGGTGAAAATCAACGAGAGTTGCACTTGCATCAGTTGCAACCACGTTAACAAGGGGTGTGATGATGGCCTCTCTAACATGAGTATCCTTTATCTCTAATGCAGTTTCAATCATATCCTGCAAGGAATTCATAAAATTAGCACATCTGAACTGTAAACAAACAGATAGGCACCTGTTGGCAAAAAAATTAAATTGGATTTCCTCTATAATTTGAATATTTAAATAGAAATTGTTAGAGAAATATATGGCAAGAAAAAGATATGCTCTATTGTAAATGCGCAACCAGAGTCAAGCAGTAAAAGAATTCAGAAACTAAAGAAACTTTCTAATTCTTATTTGCAACAAAGGAGACACTCAGGCAAGTACAATAAAGAAAAATTAGCTTATTTCACTACCTGCTCTTCCTCCTCTATTGCTCCACTCAACTTTGCCCCACGTAGCATCAGCTTTAATTCATCTTCACTAACATAAGGTTCACTAATTTAAAGAGAAAGAGAAAACATGCAAAGCATTCATAAAGCAGTCAATACAAACTTACACTAACAAACAACTGGAAACAAGAAATGCAAAAGACGAATGGCGGATATGATTTCCTTATTCCCATTGATAAATAAGTAACAATTCTTCCCACTAGATGTAGTATCAAGGAAAGCCATGCCACTGGCCTGACCAATGACACAGCAAATGGCATTAGCCAAATAATTTTAGTTTGCTAGCAGTCATCAGCTTAGTAGAAAAGAGTTAAATAGCAACATAGACCATGGAGTTTTAAAGAGAAAGTTAAAGTTTTTCAGCAAAGTTTTAGTTGCAAGTTCAAGAAGAACATGGAAACTTAAATGGAAAACTTACCACAAATCTAGCCACCTCTGTGGGATTTTGAACAGCTATACTTTTTGGAGTGATCTCAGTAAGAAGCCTGTACTCATGCTTCAGTCAGAGCCGCCTCTTCAGTTTACACTCAAAAGAGAAGCTAGTCAGCAGAGCACAAATACCCAAGTTCAGACCATTCAGACTCCAATATTGGAGAATTTATGGTCCAGAGACACTGTCATATGCACAACTGACCATGATGATACTTCAGATGTTGATACTTTGGATGTTGATACTTCATCTGTGAAAAACTTTTACAATGTTAGTCTGTCTAGTTATCCTCTGGTTTCCTTCCGTTTCTTCTTCATGGTGCAGTAAGAATATGACAAAGGAAAAAAAGGAGCTAAAGAAAAAGAAAACAGAATATGCAAAGTAGCTAATTTCCATTATCTTATGTATCTTCAGCAACTACATAGCGATCAGAAAGGCGATTCTCTTGTCTCTTTTGAAATGCATTCTCAACATAGGTAATGTTATCCAATTTGTCACCGTTCCCTTTCCTCTTCATGATTTTGGGAATCA